GCTCAAAAACAGGGAACCCAGCGACCTTAAATGACCTCCTCCGGGACTAATAGTTTTAATTGTCTAGTGTGAATGGGGAGTGCCTGGGTGGTGCCAACAGTTAGGCGCTGAGCTGCTCCCTGCAAGGTTGGAGGTTCAAGTCCACTCAGAGGGCCTCAGAAGAAAGGCCTGGGGTCCTCTTCTGAGTGAGCCACTGAAAGCCCCAGGAGTGTGGTTCCTCTCTGACTCGCAGCGGGTCACTAAAACCCCTCAAAACGAGTACCACTCATGATGCCTTTGGTGTTTACACACCATTTTCCTACATGCTGTGTATTGGGTTGAGTGACACAAACGCCCCTCACCTTTTAATCACTCGACCTGTGATTAAACTAGAAAAATGCACACCCTTTACTAGAGGTGGTAAAGAAAGGCCATCCAGTCACCTCATGCAGATCTGAGGTCATTGAAATCTACTTAAGCTGGGAGGATGGCGAGACTTCAGCTCTGGTGCTTTGGTCATACTGTGAGGAGGGACCAGTCCCTGGAGAAGGCCATCATGCTTGGTAAAGAAGAGATTGGCCAAAGAGAGGCCCTCAAGGAGATGGCTACAGCGGCTGCAGTGGTGGGTTCAGACATGGCCAGGATTATGAGGACGGCACAGGACCAGGCAGTGTTCCAGTGAGTGGGAACTGACTCAGCGACACCTAACAACAACAGCAAGGCCCCCTGAAGAAACTGCTGTCCAGATACTTCGGATGTGTCATGTAATCATAGTGGGACCTGTATTATAGTTGTCATGGCCTGTTATTAAAAGGTCATTTGACCAGTCATATTTCTGTACTGGCAATGAACCATCAAAACCCAACATTTAAAAAGGACCATTATTTATAAAAGTATTAAAATATTAGGTGTGTATCTAACAAGATACACGCAGGAACTTCATTCTGAAAACTACAAAATGCTGATGAAAGAAGCCAAAGTAGACCTTAAGGAATGGAAAGATTTCCATGTCTGTGAATTGGAGGACTCAACCTAGCAAAGATGTCAGACTTGAGGCCATTCCAGTCAAAATCCCAGCAGGATTTCGTGTAGGTGTAGACAAACAGATCCTAATGCAAAGGAGCCAAAATAAACAATTTTGAAAAAGAAGAATAAAGTTGGAGGGATCACATGCCTTGATTTTAAGCGACGGTCATCAAAGCAGTGTGGTACCAGTGGTGAGACAGACACACAGTCAGTGGGGCACCACAGAGGCCAGAAATAGGCCCACACCAATATGGCCGTGGATTTTGGACAAAGGTGCAAAGGCAATTTGATAGAGAAAGAGTCGTCTTTCCAACAAAGGGTGGTGGAACAAATGGACTTTGATACGTAAGAAAAGAACCTCGACCCACATTCACACCTTATACAAAAATGAACTCAAAACGGGCCATGGATCTCTATGTACAATGTAAAAATACAAAACTTTTAGAGGAAACATGAGAGAAGATCTTCATGAACTAGTCAGGCCACAAGGTCTTAGACATGATACCAAAACACCATCCATAAAAAGAAAGCAAAGTGATAAACTGGACTCGATCAGCATTTATAATGTTGGTAAATGATTCTGTTAGGAGAAGACAAGCTTCAGGCTGGGAACAAGTGTCTACAGACTCTTGATCTGACAAAGGCCCTGCTACACGGTGTGTAGAGTACTCTCAAAACTCCCTGGTAAGAAAAAAAAAAAAAAAAAAACAGCGCCCCTAGAGGACAGAGTGGAACTGCCCACAGGGTCTCCAAGGCTATCAGTCTTCACAGAAGCAAAGCCCAAACCACACTCACTGCCATGGAGTCGATTCCACTCACAGCGCCCCTAGAGGACAGAGTGGAACTGGCTCATAGGGTTTCCATGGCTATAATCCTTATGGAAGCCAACTGCCTCATCTTCCGGTGGGGTGCCTGGTGGGTTCGAATTGCTGACCCTTTGGGTAACAGTGGGTTCAAACCACCAGCCTTTTGGTTAGCAGCCTTGCTCTTTAACCAGTGAACCACCAGGGCTCTGTAAGAAACCAAACAACTCAGTCAAAAAGAAAAAAAAAAAAAAGCAAAACACTAAAACAGATACTTTATCAAAGAGGATGGAGGAAAAGCAAATAAGAACATGAAGAGATGTTCAACCTCATTAGCCATTAGCGAAATGCAAGTCAAAACTATGTTGAGATACTACGACACACCCATTAGAATGGCTGAAAGAAAAAATACTGACAATATGAAGTGTTGAGAGAATGTGGAGCAACTGGAACTCCC